ACAACCACAGCAACTAGAGCAGAGCATTATATATATATATATATTGTTGCTTTTTTTGTTTGGTTAGAAACCTGGTCAGAATCTCTTCCTTGTTTATCACTCCTCTCTCTTTTCTCTCCTGCTCTGAGACACTAGCAGCAGTTTCAGGCAGGAGCAGAAGTGTTTTAAAAAGCTGTAAAACAGCTGCATCATGCAGCATTACTGAAAGAAACTATCAGAAGTTCAGTGGTTAGGGTTATCTTGTTATGCTAAGCTACAGTATCGTGTTCAGGACTGACCGAGTCCCTGAGGAGAAATGCAGAGACACGTGAAGCTTTCTACGAGCTGCTGAAAGTTACTGGAGTGGAAAGTGAGTCAAAACTTTCTTTCAAGACATCTTGCAAAACTAGAGGCTGGACAGCTTCAGTAATCCTGACAGAGCAGCAGGGAGCTCAGCTGTCGCTCCACCTGCCTATGAGAGGCAGAGTGAACTTAGCACTGGAGAGCTCAGCTCATTTGCATACTAAACAGTGATTGGTTGTTTACTGAGGAGGTGGGTCTCTGCTGCCTGCAGACAGTCTGTCCTGCACCCAGCACAGAGCAGAGGAGGCAGAGATGAGAGACAACTTGTCCATTTATTGGCAGATTTGATTTAAGGGGGCAGGGCATTTGTCTGAGGGGGCACTGGCCCCTCTTGCCCCAGCATAGAGCCGGCCTCTTCCTGTACCACTAGATTTCAAAACAATTACACCACCTACCTCTGGAAAAAGGCCGTTAACACAATAAAATAAGTTTTATAAATTGAAAAAGGCTATCAAAACATTATATGTTATGTTATTTCTGTACTTTGCGGTGGTGCTACATCATTGGTTTTTGATCTTGAAATGTTTGATTCTTTGTACTGAGTAGGACTGACTGGGTTACTCAAAAGGACAGGTGCAACAGAATCATAACATGCTTTTATAACTGGGCAACCGTCACTGATTTTATAAAACTAAAGCAAAGAGGATTAGTTTAGATGTTTCTGGTCTGTATGATCAGGTGTGTTACCTGGGCAGTAGCAGCGCAGCACCCCGGGCTGGATCAGAGCAGCAGGGACACTGATGTGGTCGAACAGACAGCTGTATTCACTACTCGACTCCAACCACGGACCTGTGATCAGCACCTTCACTCCGCCCTGAGGAACACAAATAAAAGCCTCAGGTTAACATCAACATCATTGCTGAGAATACGATTAAACATATCTGGCAACATCAAACACGAGTCTACAAATAAGACAAATTTCTGCATGCTATGATCTCCGACCAGCGAGAACGAAGCAAGCTTCAGGATCTATGAGGATCTCTGAATGTTTGTATCAATATGGCATCATTGGTGTGTGAAGAAATGTCTTAAAATGCGCTTTTATTTAAATACAGTCTGTAGATAAGAGAAAAATTATGAACGCAAGTGCCTTAATTTTGGCCTGATTTAAAAATATTAACTTACTGAAATTGTAAGAGGTTAGACTAGCCTAGAGACTACTTTGCTCCTTACATTCAAACAGAACAAAAAGGTTTGAACTGTCTGAATTACAGCATCATAAATTCACACAAACACAGCTTAATAAAACCAAAAGAACAAACTGTCCTATGCAAATGAATATGTCATGAAGTTATTGAAGTACAAAACCTGAAGAGTTAGGACTGTTTCCTCTTAGCTGTTTAGCTCATTTTACAATTTGTGTGATATTTTTTTGGTCTGTGAAGAAATCTTTTTGTTAGGTTTAACTTTAAACTGCAAATGATGTAATCTMCAGCAGTGAAACTGCAGTAAAATGTGAGCTAAATTGAGTTATTACAAGCCCCATGTGACGCTGTTTTTTTAATGATGATGGGAAGATGCAAGGTTCCCACAATTTTCATCATAATTCAGTGACAAAACTGCTGTCTGAGCCAGTAGCAGTCTTACATGGGTAAAATAATGAGGCCACCCAGGAGAATCAGGGAAATATTGAAATTTCATTAAAACCCAATCAGCTGAGTGTGAAATATTTGTCCTCTTTAATGACCACATACTGTAACCAAGCTGCCTGTACAAACTGGGCTAAGTGTAATTTTAGTGGTTAACATCGGCACGAGCTGCCATCAATCACGAGGTGTGTGGACTAATTTTCCTGTGGGGAACAGTGATGAGTAAATAATGATTACAAGTTACTCACCTCTGGATAGGACCACTCCGGGGAGTAGTCTGTCACACCGAACAGTCTGCCAGTCTCCTGGAGCAGTCCCAGTGCTCCCTGCTCCACCTCCGAGCCCTGCAAGTGGCCCGCTCCCGAACCCTGATCCTCTCCTGCTGCCCCCTCCTGCGGCATTAAAACACCAGAGACCGCTGCCCCCACCCCGCCCCCAGACCCCTCCACTGAGATGAAATCATTGATGAGATCTGAGAACTGGCTTCCAAATGAAGCCTCGAACCCCTCCAGGCTGATGGCGGCTCCMGCCCCAGCTGATGTGGCGGCCACCACTCCATTTTGCTGAGGGAGCGGAGAGCTGTAGAGTGCCCCTTCGATGTTTGCCCCTGTGGCTATTGACTGAGGGCTGCCCCCCACTGAACTGCTGGCCCCAGACAAGCTCACACCATTACATATAATTTCATTCTCTGCTGCTCCTCRTCCACCTCCTCCTCCTCCACCCTCGTCTCCTCCTCCGCTGTCATCTGTGGGCTGGAGGTAATGCTTGGCATCAACACTCACATAGGCCTCATGAGGATCTCCAGCCTTGAGGAGCAACTCCTCTCCGTTCTCGGTGGGTTTTTCCAACGCTCCCACCTCCTGGTGKCCCCTGCTGCTCGGCTGTTCGATGGGTGCGTCCCGCGTCGTCAGGGGGAAGGAGCCCACTGCTGCTGCCTGTCCGTTCCTTGCGCACAGAGCCTGCTGGTCTGCGCTGGCTTGGTGGAGGTGTGCGTGTGCGTCTCCATTGGTGACAGGAGGGTCGGCTGCCACCGGGGGGAGGCTCATGTAGGCCCGCGCCTCGCCAGGTTCCTGGGTTGCCTTGGTGCCGTTGGTCTGCAGCTGAGAGGGCTGGCTGGTCTGGGGGGAGGCCTGGAGGAAGATGCTGGGTGAAGGGTGGTGCGCGGGCTGGCTCAGACTCGGGACGCAGGTGGATGACATGACAGCACTGAAGTCCATCTGTTCCAGGGTGGTGCTGGGGCTGAGGCCAGCTCCTTCTCCCACGTAGCCYCTCTGGCTGGACAGCGGCTGCTCCAGGGGTGCAGCTTCTGTCTTGATGTTATTGACCAGACTTGGATTGTAAGCAAAGCCGTTGGAGGGGCAGTGCAGCCCTCCGTCATCACTGTTACAGCCCTCCGTCTTCCCACCTCCTCCGTACGTCTGGCCCTGCTTGGGGTTGTTGAGAAAGCAATCGGGGTCAAAGGTCATGGTGGTCTCAGGAAGGCTGACACCAACGCCAGAGTCCAGAGAACTGGAGAGGACCAACTCCCCCCCCTCCCCCAGGCCRACCCCTCCAGGAAACGATGCAAACCTCTGGCTGTCAGGGGCGACAGCTAGCAGAATACCAGTTGTGGTACTCTCGTGGGAGGACGCCAGCAGGTGMGTGTGGCCAGCGGAGTACACCGAATCCCCGGTCAGCGTGGTGACCTCGGACATAAACACRGCAGTGCTCTGCGATAAACCGGCTCCGATGGCGAGGGCAGGACTGTCAGCCATATCGCTTGCGATTGACAACGGGGAGCTCTGGGTGGTGTCGGGCACCTCCACCTGATTGGTGGAGGTGGAAGACGACACTTCCATGCTGCTCTGCGGGAGTAAGGAGGGTTTGGGTATCCTGCCGTTCCTCCTCTCTCCTCCYCCAGCTCTGCTCCTCCCCCCGCCAGGATTGGGCTCAGTCTGGCCCTCCGACACATCGCTGTTCTGGACCTCTGTGCCATCTGCTTCCTCAGCTCTCTGGCCCGCTGCTACACCTGTTCCTATGGCCGTCCCGCCTCCTGCTGCCGCTCCCCCTGACTCCTGCTTGGACGAGATGATCCGCTGCTTGACGCTGGAACACTTTTGATGKAGGCTGCTTCCAGCACCTGGTAAACAAGATATCCAAATAAAGATTTATAAAGATTCTAATCATTTARTTTCGCAGGCCAATGTTTTACCTGAATAGCCCTACCTCATGTTCATTTCCCAGCATGTGATAGCACCCTCCAGTGTTCAAAATTTACATTGAAATTAGTTCAAGTGCTCTGAAATACTGGCACAAATACGTATGCTTAAACATTTTTTAAAAGCCCATACACATTCTTCAGGTCTTCTAAGTAATTATTGCAAATGTTTTCAATCACATTTTGAGAATTAAGCAGATTTTTCTCCAGAGGAAACACCTGCTCCCAATGAARGAAGCATCAGAACTGTAATCAAGTCATAACATGCAATAAAAAACAAAAACAAGAAGCTGTGTGAATGACTTGGTACAAATGGAAGTCAGAAATGAAGTAGTAGTTATGTCAGCAAGCCGCCAAGTAAATAACATGTCTTTGTTTTCCCTTCCAGACACAATCAAAAGATGGAAGATGTTACATAAGTTAGTGTCAGTGTGAGTACTGGAGTTGTTTACTCCCTGATGCTGATTTATGATTAACACTTCCTGGAAGTTTCAGGCTCTTCTGTTGTCCTTCTGTAAACTTCTGCCTTTCTTGGGCACAATTTGTATCTGCCTGTAGGTGGCAGCATGGCACTGACTGCTGGCAGCATCAAAAACAAGCAATTCACACAGAATATCTGATAAAAGCCTGAATAAATTGTATATACTATTGGTATACGGTTACTGTAAAGTCTTTGAACATGTTGTTGTTGTGATTTTATGTTGACAGGAGACTTTTTATAATTTTCATTCTTAAATTTTTTTATGCAGAATTATTTTATTATAAGGCGAATTAAAACAAAGCTTGAAAAGTCAGCATTTATTTACAATTTTCCATTTGTCTTAGTGAGAATCATTGAATCCATAAATAAACATATCAGCCTTTTGTTTGGTTTAGATTAGACAGATAATTCTTCTCTTTTAAGAAATGTCATTCCAAGTTATATTTAGCTGTTATTCCATGTCATGACAATTTTGGCTACATCTTGATATACATTACCAAATTTTTCATTACTAAGCATCGATGTATATGCACAGTTTTATTGTTTGTTTCTTATATTCTCCTTCAGCCATTTAATATTTTCATTTATATATATGCTAATTGTGTTTCTCCATTAAATGCAGTGACATTTTGATTGCCAAAAATAGGAGAAACACAGTTAGAGTTATCTGAAGTGACACTTTCTTAGTGTTTACATAGACCAACTGTATACACTTCAAAAGTTTGCAAAAAAACATTAAAGTGACTAAAGGAATTATAAGCAATAACACCAAACACCTACCATCTGTGAGGCTGCAGCCATAAAACGTTTCTACATGAAAAATGAGCCAAACAATTAGAAAAATAGTTGCCAATTAATTTTCTGTCAGTCAGCTAATTGATTATTCTGACTAATCATTTCAGCTGCACCTGCATTAAACAGATAGGTGATTTAACAATTGGCAAAACATCAAATTGCATGATTTCAGATATATGTAAATAATATAATTACTTGTAAAACAACTAGTAATTGGAATCATCAGACATATGTAGAGATGTGAAAAGTTTTAACGTGGAGGTGAAAAGTTTAATAAAAAGGCACTAAAGTTTAGAGGTCAAATAGAGTTCACACAAATATAATGAGCTGCACTGCATGGTATATTTCTGATCAAAACAGAAATATAGAGTTATTCAGACTTATACAGTAACATTTAGACACACAACAGTTTGAACAATTCACTTTATCTTTGACTTTAATATCTAGATGTTGCTGTCGTCACAAGATCAGAGCTCATTGTGTAACCAGAGACATCTAATCTCTTTTATTAAGATGTAATTATTGTGAAGCCAGTTCAAATATCTGCTTCATTGTTTCATTAATTTCACGTTATTTATTGGCAAACCAAACATATTAATCAAAAATAATTGTACACCGTAAATAACTTTGCTGTTTTACATAAATAAACTGTTTACTGAATCAAACCAGTTCCTTTTCTACGCTAAAATTAAAGAGTTGGCATTTTTTTGAAGGGATGTACAGTATATCACCATGCTAGAGTTTTAGATCATCACTGTTTTGGTTCAACGTTGAAAATAAATAAATAAATAAATAAATAAATAAATAAATAAATA